TCAACATGATCCAAAAACATTTTTGTAACCACTCGCCATCTCGCGGAACAGTGAAATTGAGCGATATCCTTGATTATTAGCATTCGAAAAAAGTTGTATATCACATATCTAGCAGAATATGTTGTCTCCAACCTTTCTCTTAAGGGAATATTTAGAAAAAAAAGATTAATGTATTCAAACAAAAATATTTAAAAATCAATGGGACATACAAATACCAAATTTGAATTGATTTGGACATACTGATGTTCTAAAGCTTTTAAACATTTTCGTTAACGCTTTGAAAATTTTCTCAAAAATAGCGATTAACATATTAGGGATATTTACATATTTTTAAGCTCGAATTTTTTCTTTCTTTTTTTATGAATTTCATCTTATTCTTTATAAATTAAATTTGTAGGTAACTTTAAAGATAATGGGGACTTTTTTTTGGACAATCCTGTATGTAGGCTATAATTTATTTAACAAATTAGTAATTAATAGATATAATAACACCTCATTTTCTTCTTTGCTACTGCTATATTCTGATACCTGCTAAAATATATAATTGAAATTCTAAGACTTTTATTTTAATTATGAAAATAAAAATGTTTGTGTTGAAGTAATATTTTAGTCGATATTATATTTAAATTCTATATTTTTTTATTTGCTTAGAAATATATACTAAAATTTGTTATACCAAATCTAAAATATTTTTTTAGAAGTAGCAGTATTATAACTTAAGATTTCTATAAATAAAATTGATTTAGATATACAGAGGGATTTTTTTATCATAACCCACCTAATTACTTACAGAATAAATATAATTTTAACATTTTTTATGGCATCAATATTCACTAGTATACAGCATTGTTATTATCAATGGTAGTAAGGCACATTGTTGTGAGTTCATAAATACTTTAACTGATAATATAAAAAATATATCTATTCATAACCATAATTGATAATAAACAATCCGGGACCGAGACAGCTGTGTCATAAAAAACCAATTAGCTAACTGTATTTGTAATCCCTTGTGTATTATACATGTTTATTAACTCAAAAAATTGAAACTTTAAATGTTTATATCTAATAAACGAATAAAGTTATATTAAAAATTCAAATGCCATTTAAGCCATTTACTATTAAATTAAAAACTTAAACAATTTATTAAATTCAAAATATGTGTTCCCATTTACAAAAACAATGTTAACACCTTTACCAGGCATAAGGGATGAACTTAAAAAGTATTACATAGTTACTATTTCAAGAATAATATGTAACTAAAGAAAATCAAAAAAAAATTTTAATTATTATTATTCTGTAAGTAATTGAGTGGGTTATGATAAAAAAATTATCCTGTATATTCAAAAACCAACTGAAATCTTCTTCTTCTTCCTCTTCACCATTATTGTTCTAATATATACTCATATTACTTTTANCTTCCTCTTCACCATTATTGTTCTAATATATACTCATATTACTTTTAAAAAATCCTTAAAATACTTGTATGTAAATTATAGAAAAGTATAATGTCATATTAATTGTTTCATGTGTAACTTATTTCATAAAATTACTTAAATATGTATATATGTATATCATAGTTCTATGAACTTTTTTATACCACCAATAGGAATTTTATTTCTGTTTTTACCGATAATCACCTATGTGGTATTCTTTACACAAGCGGCAATCCTATTTCACACATTATTTATAAATCCTTTGATAATCCACACAATTCTTCCTTTAAACCTTCTATAGATATTAAATATAGTAAAATCATACGATACTGCAAAATCTAGAACTCTTTATCCAATTTAATTTTTCTCATTTAAACCATACCCTCTGTGTATTCTCCATACCCACTTCTTTTATTACCGATATGTTAATTCATATTTATACCTAATAGTATATCCTTATCCTTGCATCGCTTCATCCATTTCTTCGCAAAAAACTTTATTGCCTCTCACTTCACATAGTACTCGTGGAGAATATACACTTGCTACATTTATAGCTTTTTCTTTAAAAATTAATTCAACCACTATAATTCAACTACCTTACTTGACTACATCTAATACTTTAATTTACAACTTTTCATCCGTTATTACTTCTACGCCATAATTCAAGTTTAGAACAACAAATATTAACTTTCCATTTTTTTATAATTTTACTAAACTCTACTCATATCAGTTAATGTTCCAACATAACACTACATTTTTTTTTTAACTACCCTACGGTACTTTTTATTGAGACGATCATAAATCTTAATCAATACAATTAAATGGTTATCAAAATTATAAATATACATTTTATTAATTAATATATATAATATATATATATAAATTAGTATATATATATATACTAATACAACATGAATGGGATTTACACTTCCAGTGAAGTGGTCCCTAACTTAGTCTAATAATAATAAATAATATTAAAATTATAAAATAAATATTTATAAATTTAAACTATGTCATATGGCTTGACGCGTTTTAAACGTCTTAGGTCATTGGAATTGTCCAATAGTTGAATTGCCGCTATATTTTCATGGTTTTCCAACTTTATTATATGCTTACGTGCAAACCGAGTGACTTCATCTGCTACAGTCGGTAACATCATATCTCGATGAATTACATCATTCCTATCGAATGTGTAAGCCGCGACGATTGTACATTTCATGTATACATTTTTACTTTATACTTATCTGTCGCAATTAGACACGAGTTTAATAAAGTTTAGTGGCGATGTCCCTATACATTGACCTCATAAGCGTTGGGTATAGAACTGTACACATATCTGATGAAACAGCTACCGCACAAGTTTTACGGCTGGTATCACATGCTTCCACAAGACCTCTACCACTTCTAGTTACGTTATTTCCACTCACTAGTTTTCCCACGTACTTTAGAGATAGAACAATTTCCCTAAATTTTGTTTAGGATTTTTCATACCAATTGACACAATTTTATACCGGCTGTCGACCTGACGCAATTTTATTTGTCACCTTTTAAAACTAACAGAAGGCTAAAGAAATATTCTGATTCCCTTCCACAAGAAATAAAAAGCTACTAACATTTTTGTATAAAATTTAGCTTACGTAGTATATATGCCTAACGAAACATGACTCAACTAAAGTTTTAATTTTTTCGTTATTATAGAGAAACTTTTAAAAACTGGCACATTTCAGAGCACAATAATAAAATTTTACATTACAAGCAATCTAAGATTCGAAAATTTTTTTACTATTTTTAGAAATAATTAAATAAGCTACAAATAANATTTTTTTACTATTTTTAGAAATAATTAAATAAGCTACAAATAAAAAAAACAAAATCACTTTTGATGCTCAAAACTTTGTTATGTCATTTATTCAATTTTCACTAATTTAAATTTAATAAAAGGTTAATACACCATATGTATCTTTAATACTATAATAATAAAATTTTGTATCAATATGTGTGTAAGTCAATCCATTCAAATAAAAAAAAAGAAATGATATCCTTTGAATATTCAGTCGTTATGTATAGTCGTGGGCTATTACTGACGTTGAAAGAGCAAATTTTTTGTGGAGCGCCTTTCTAATGTTTTTAAATCAAAATACATAACTTTTAGCAGCACTTAACTTTAGCACTTTAGTACAAATTTTCTAGAGTCTCTACTACGAATGGCACTACACGTCAAGACTACTAGCCCTAGTGAAATTCATTATATAATACAAAAACTTTCAACCAATAAAACTCCTGGAGATGACCTAATAACAAACTATATAGATAAATACATTTTTAAAAAAGCACTTGATTTTTAATGTTCTACTTAGACTCATATTTTCTTAAAATGTGGAAAAAATCACTCTATCAGTTTGCTACCTACCTTTTCAAAAATGTTTGAAAACATTATTTTTAAAAGACTTCTTACTACAATAACTGAATAAAATGACAATCCAAATCATCAGTTTGGCTTTAGATCATAGCACTTCACCATCCATCAATTTCATCGTATAACAGATGCATATCAACTAGCCTTCAGAAAAAGCAGTACCGCGATGCAGTCCTACTCGATGTGGTTCAGGCCTATAATAATGTCTGGTTTGAAGGCCTCTTATTTAAACTAAACAATTTCTACCGACTCTATACTATCTAATCATCAAGTCTTATCTCACTAATCGCTTATCTTCTTTTAGAGAAATACTCTCTTAACTACAATATTGAATCCAGTATCCCGCGAGGTATCAATATAGCTCTATTCTTACTCTTGCTCACGATACGCCTAAATAAATATTACCTAAATAATAATAAATCAGTAAAGGGCCGCTCAAAATTAAATAATTTAATGATAATGTTTTGTTGTTTTCAAACAAAATTTTGTAATTGTTTTTTATATTATTATATGTGGAATATATTATGAATCAATATAGTTATTATTTTTGTTATAATTTTTGATTTTAAGCATGTCACCATGTCTTTGTAAATAAATTTGTTATAACATATGCTTATTGGACAGCTTATGTGTAGAAAAATTTATATTTATTTATTATATCTAAATAAATTTTATTCAGCGAGTAATTGACTATTAAGGATAAAAAGAACACTCTGTACATAATACATAAAAGTACAAAAAAATTTGTTTTCATGTATTACGTCATTAAAATGTCTAATAATATATTTTTGTTATAAACCAATTTTACACGGCCTTTATATATTAAAAAATTTCGAATTACAGTTAAAATTGTTATAAATGGTTAATATCGATATTTAAATTTATAATCGATATTGTAATGTTCTATTTCTATTATTACACGTTCGGAAAATATGAAGAAAAATAATCAAATAACATAATTTATTAAAATAAAACTGTTAACTTTATTTTAATTTTAATCAATACAATTATTAAAATTTTTCAACCATTTGTGTAACAATAAATTTTTGAAACAATATGAACTTCAAATTGTGTACATACATACGTCATTATTATAACTATTATTATATCAATTTCACATAGAAGTATCAAACTAAACATATTACAAGTCGCAGAATACTTGTTTTACAAAAAAGATTATAACGTTCTTTTTCTATTTCAATAAAATATAAGCAATGTTAAAAAATAGTTTTAAATTACTTTACTCTTAAAAATAATATCATATAACAAATTTCGTTTCAAAAAATTAAAAAACATGTTTAAAAAAATTATATTATATGAGATTTTCTTATTTTGGCAATTAATTCAAGTTTTAGATGTATATTGTGATCCTCAAAGTGAAGATTTTAAGAAATACATGATTAACTCATTAAACCACATTCGTGTTCAAAATGGATGGGCTTCAATTCATCAATCAGAAATTAAACTTGAGCACTTAACAATTAATACCGAAACCGTAACAAGTGAAATTATCGATGAAAGTAACTTTATACAAAAACTCTACTATATAACTTACCTATTAAATTGTGAATATACCAATGTAATGCAAACTTTCAATGTAATGTTAAGCCTTATTTTAAAAAAGTGTGAAGTTAAATATTTAAATAAACAATATGATCAATTGGGATATTGCACTAGGCAAATAATTTATATTGTTAAATATTCAACAGATATGTTTAAAAAACTGCGGACAGCGGCTAAATACCTCGACAAAATCGACCTACGAATTATAGACTCACCTATTTTTAATATTAAAACTGTAGATAATGAAATAAATTATTTTTACATATATGCAAAGGATTTAAAATATCCGTTAAATACAATATATAGTTCTATTGTTAATAGTTTTGAAAGCATAACATATTTTAATAAAAAAGCAGAATTAATGATATCAAATCTATACAATAAAAGAAAAGTGTGTGGGACAGAACACAAAAGTTCTATTTTAGCCGATTTATTGATGAAATATAACATCGATCAAATGGAAAAACTGATCGAGGACTCCGACGATTATATTAATATTATTAATAAAGATCTTGAATTATATTTTTCCGAAATAATTGAAAATTGTTATTTAAATCTAGGCTTTGAACAACTACAAGGAACATATTCATTCAAGTAAGATTTATAGTTTAGTATGTTTACATACTTAAATTTAAGAATTTTATTTTGTTATTTAAACAGTAAAATTATTAAAATATCAATTTTGAGCATCCATTTATGTTTTTTTTGTTCAAGGTATATTCATTCTAAAACTAAAATGTACGACGTTTTTGATGGTATTGTATTGTGTAATCATTTTATTTCTCACCCTGGTTGGATGTCATTGGAACATATATTTGTTAAAACTGAATATACAAACGAAAAATCACTATATTTCAAAGATATTATATGTACCGTTGATAAGGACAATTATTATTTCGTGCGGTCATGTCTTTCACTTATTTTAAGATGGCGCTACATTGAAATATTTCGTGATTTTAATATAATGTTAGGATACATAGTTTATGTTTGTAAATATGAAAATAAAATTAATTGCGCGNTATAGTTAATGTTTGTAAATATGAAAATAAAATGAATTGTGCAGTTAAGCTTTATGAAACACTTATGACATCCGATGATATGTTTAAAAAAATGTTAGTTGCTCTGACTACTTTGAGACATTACAGAAAAGATAATAAAAGTCGACGTCAAGAATTATTACTAGAGAAAGTGGTAGAAATTTTTATTGATTTTTTGAATAATGTTAGAAAAAAGTATTTTTCCCCATTATTATTTATTAATAATGGATTTTATGAAGCTCAATCGTTTCTTAAAGAAGTAGCTGATATTCAATCTTCAGATTTACAGAAGAAACTGAAAGAAGTAATTCAGTATAACATGAATTATTGCACAATTATTAAATGTGAATCCGACATATCCTTAATTACAACATTTGAACAATTGATTAAAACCAATACCTTGACAGAATCCAGTAATATATATAACTCGTTGTGTGACTATTTGGACTTATTTTTTCAAAACGTCCTGATAAATGATTATGTGAATTTAGGTTTTGATAATTTGCCACAGTAAAAAAATATAATTATATATTATTATAAAATTAATTATTTATCCTTAAAATAATTAAATATTCATGTAAGGAAATATTGGTATCCTTCTAATAAATTAGTTATAAAAATTCCTGTATTTTTATAGCATTAATACATACACAAGTTTAAGATTTTTATTATATAAATTAAATTTAAAAAGTTGATAGTAAAAAAAGAAATATAAATAAAATATTTTAGAGTGTACTTCTTTTTGTTTTATATTGCTATTATTTTTATAGTAAATTAATTAATAATATATTTAATCTTTATTGTTATAAAATGGTCAAATAACAGAACAGATAAATGTATTAAAATTATTAATTTTAAACTAAAAAAATAATTTAATTTAATAATGAAAAAAAGTTGTCGAACACTAAAGAGTTAAAAATCAATATTTGTATCATTTATGATGCAAGGTGATAGAAATATATTTTAAAATACGTTGATTAGTAGAAAATACAGGATCGTATTTTAAGAAGCTAGTGATACTGGAGTCCTCTTATTAAAATACATGTGATGTTTTGCTATTTATTGAAAATGGTACTTGGTTTATATTACTTTGTATGGATTTTTTATCTTGAGGTATTATTAATGGTGGGATGGTGTGGCCGACTCGGTAACGCAGCTGTATTTGACACACACTGACTCGGGTTCGAAACTCGGACACGGGCGGCTTCATTTGCCAAACGAGAGATTAGTTCGGTAATTGGAGTCCCATCCCTCTCACCGACGACGCACTAACCACTTGTCCCGGAGTATAAATCGTTAAGAAACCTCCTTATTTGAGGGAGGCCGCTATGGTCATTAATGGGCTGAAAGTGCAAAAATAAATTATTAATGGTATTTTCTAAAAATAAATTTATACAGTTGCTGGGAATTGGTGGCTGGTTTTCAGAATAATTGTTATGATTATTAATTATTGATATAATTATTATACCAAAAATTATGTGAAACAAAGATACATGGTACATGATTAAAATTTACGCCTTAAGACGTTGTAAAGGCAAACCTTACTACTAAGCTACTTTCCAACTATTATTTAGATCTCGATACAATTCAAATAGGTTAATAACGTAATGTGCGGCTATGGGAAACACGATACTGTGTTAATTTGGAAGTCACATTATTTTTATACCAATAAAGAGTTAAAAAACAGTAATGCAGAATTCTTGACATCCTCAAAAAAAATGAAACAAATGCATCTTAGTAAAATAGTCTTACACACGAAAGAAATATTTATGTTATAAAATTTCTTGTAAATAATTTGTAGATTTTAATTATCAGAGAATATGTAATAAGTTAAATAAAAATATTGCTTAGATAATACATGAATAGGCAAATAATATCTTAGTATTTTTAACGTAATAATATGGTGGATTCAATTCAAGTAATACATTTTTTAATGATAACTTACAACATTGTACATTATACTCTACCATACTGTTGTGCGTCGTTGTACCGTGACGTAGATACAAAGAAAGTACACACATCAATTAGCACTTTTTAAATGTTCTGACTTGTAACTAGACGTTTCTTAGTCAAAACGTCAACCCCCCATTACTTTTCACATTTCCCTTTATATATTCTTTTTCCCACCTTTTTTAACTTGCTTACCCTGCATTTTTCCTCTATATGACGATATTACTTAACTTAAGAATTTAAAACTGATTAATAAGTTGTTAAAACCTTATACTAAACTAATATCGAAGTTTTTTAATATCTTCTCAGCTATCTGATAAAATTACTAATAATCGCTGCGTATCTGTGAATAGCGACCTCGTAAAAAAGCAACTAGCTACGAGTTAGTTCAATCCTCGTACATTATAATAATATTTTAACTCAAAAGTTCGAAACTTTAAAATGTAATAGGTAAATAAAAGATAAAGTTATATTAAAAATTCCATCACCATTTGTTTTCTCGCAACCGATTAGGTGTCATATTCTCTGCACGACTACCGGTACCTATCAAATATAAGGCAGGCGCTCTCGCTTACTTTCTTATATCCTCAACATGTAAAATTTAAGTTAAGGCAAAAATTTTGCCTTATAGTGTTATTTGTGTTCGTAGTTGTGCTTCTTTATGTTAAGTTTTTTAAATTTAGGCACGTAAATTAAAGTTCCTATTTTTTGTTTATAAATTATTCAGAAATTTAGCGTCATTGTGATCTAAAAAAACTATAAATTATTGTTTGTTGTACGACAAATTTGTTTTAGGTACCCGTCGCAGCTGGTTAGTGCGCACACCTCATCTGTGGTTTTGTAATTTACTATTGTGAATTATTATTATTATTATTTAAATATTGAAATTATGTATATATATTAGGATGGTTTAAAAAACACGACTTCAAATATTTGATCACGTCATCCCCCTATTTATTTGATATAGAAAACTTGTACTGTGAAAATTTGGACTCTATCAAACAACCGTTTCCCGTGCCGCATTGGGATTGAAGGTTGACCAAATAGGATTGTTTTTTAGTTTTTCACATTTATTTCAAAAAATATTATAGCTAGCGTAAAAATGTATAAAGTAAAACTATTTAGTATTACATTTCAAACTAATACATTTTTTCTAAAATCAATAATTACTGAGATAATTCAAAAATATCTTTTAATTTTTATAATTTTGTAAAAGTAATAATATTATGAGCATGTACCATATACACGCCAGGTATAAAAATAATAAGCACTTAAATGCCGTATAAGATAAATAGTGTTTGTAATTGGAGATTATAAAAAATAGAGGGACTTTACCCCTCCTTCTTTAGTTCACCAAAAAACTCTAAATCTTTAAAGTAATTTAAATCAAGCGTTTTTCAAATATAAGAGATATTAAAATTAAAATCATTATTTATTATATGTTTAAAAAATTAAAAATGAACACTAAAAATAATAAAAAAATATACACTAACTTGGTGGGATTTTTTTTTTTTTTTTTTAGAACGTTTATTAGAAAATTTACAATCTATACAGCTATATGTACAATAAGTAAATATGTGAATAGGAATAAAATAGACAATGATAAGGCGGTGAGGAGGAAGCTCTCATTAGAGCCACCTGTGTATTATTAATTTTAAGTGGGTTAAATAATATTGAGAAGGTCTCTTGACCAGTTGCGTTTGAGGCGTCTGTTTGGATTGCCCGGAAGAATTGTTGAATGTAGCTGAGTAACGAGACGGTTTGGATGGGATTGCATTTTGGAATGTAGTCTTTTGTAATATACAAAATGTATGTGTGCAGTTTTTTTAAGTGTAGCTATTTTGAGGTCTTCGTGGAGGGAGTTGTTGGTGACGTACCACGGTGCTTTGGTTATCATACGGAGACAAATAGACTGGAACGCCTGTATTGTCCTTATGTTAGACGGCTTTGCAACACCCCAGAGCGCGATACCGTATGACCATATTGGTTGGAGGAGGGATTTGTAAAGAAGTAGACGATAGGATATGTGCTGGTTGTGTTGGATGAGCGGTCTTATTAGATGAAGACGAGTATTTAGCTGTTTCCGTTTACTTTTAAGATGAGGACCCCATGTGAGCGTTCTGTCGAATAGCAAGCCCAGATATTTCGCTTCCCTTGCTTGTGGAATAATAGTGTTGTTGAGAATTATGTTAGGACAGACATTTTGACGAAGGGTGAAGGTGATGTGGGTAGATTTTAGTTCGTTGATTTTTATTTTCCAGGTGTCACACCACTTGGATAATATGTTGAGGTGAGATTGTAAAAATTTGCTACAGTTATGCGGATCTTGATCGGCAGCTAGTATTGCAGTGTCATCTGCGTATGTTCCGATGAGTGTGTTTGCGGTATGTGGAATGTCAGCTGTGTAGATGATGTATAAGAAAGGAACAATGTCCTTGGGGGACTCCGGCTTGAATATTATGATAATCGGATAGTGTGGAATTAAGTTTGACTCTAAAAGACCTATTTTCAAGGTATGATTTGAGTAGTAGAAAGTATGGTGCAGGAAATATATTTTTTAATTTATATAGTAAGCCGGTGTGCCAGACCGTGTCAAATGCTTGCGCGACGTCGAGGAATACAACAGAGCAGTATTTTTTGGATTCGAGAGATGTAGCAATAGTATCTTTGTTGATGGAATGTGGCATGTTTTGGTCGAAAACCAAACTGAAATTCAGGTATGGTATTTTTCTCTTGCGCTAATGGGAGAAGTCTGCTAAGGAGAAGCTTTTCGAGGATTTTACCGAGGACTGGTAAAAGACTAATTGGTCTATATGACGTCGACTTTTCTGGGGTTTTTTCAGGTTTTAAGATGGAGATAATAATTGCTGTTTTCCATTTAGAGGGGAAATAAGAAAGGCTAAAGATCACGTTGTAAATATATGTAAGCAGTATGATTGTTTTGGGCGGTAGATTTTTTATTATTTTGTTACTAATAAGGTCGTGTCCAGGTGACTTGTTGGTCTTGAGTTTTTTGACGATTGATGACACTTCTTTG